CCGTCTGCAGCGCCCCTGCGCGGCCGGGCCCTAGCCCTCCGGAGCTCGAGGCCCTCCCCGGCCGGAGAGTGTTCGCCAGCGGCCCACCGGTCCCCTCCAGCCTCCTCCCCAGATTTTCCGCTGGGGAGAGCTGTTTTTAGCTCCCCGACGCGCTTGCTTGGCTGCCCAGCGCGCGTCTCGGGCGCGGCCGGGAAGAAAGCGCTTTCTCAGGAACCTTCAAGTTGCCTACTTTCCCCAGCGGGCACCCTCGAGGTCACCTGGGCCAGAGAAACTGTCCCGCAGCGGGCGACGCAGGTCCCCGCTGCCCTGACCCCAGAGAGGAGGAGCTTGACCATGTGGACAGGCCCAGGGGGCCTCTGGTCGGGACTGGAGAGCAAAGCCTGGGGGTGGCTCCCCCACCGGCCTCTCAGGGAGATGCAAACGCGTCCCCGAGAGATGCGCTCCCGTGAAGGCCAATGTGGATGGGTCTGTGTGGGAGAGAGAGCTCGGCATGGCCCAGGCCAGGGCCTGACCTGACCGTGTCCATGAGCACCCCTGGCGTGAAACCCTTGGTGGTTTATGTGCAGAAACAGGGAGGAGAAAGTTCCCAGGGAGACTTGGTGACCGGACCAGGTAGGGCCAAAGTTAGAAAACACCAAGCCCCTGCAAGGGGCGCGGGCCCGGCTGGGAGGGCCCCAAGCCCACCGCTGCCCCCCACCCACCGCACACACCTCTCTCCTCGGCACAAAGTCGAGAAGAGGCAGGTCCGGGAGGAGCGTGGAGCTGATTAGCCGGGCAGCAGCCTGATTCCCGGCACGTCTCCGCGGGATCTTCTCAGGGGAGAACCCAGGTGACTTGACCCCATTTCGCAGCTCTCGGGAGCTAGGTGGGGTCCGAGGTCCTTAGGCCCAGGGCGCTGGCTCCCAGGTGGCGACTCCGCGCGCGTCCCAGCGATGCGCGCCTCCGCCCCGCGCGGTCCCGGGACAGCCCCGGCTGGGTTCCGCGCGTCCCGAGCGCGTTCCGGGAAGGTGACTCAGCGACGCGTTCACGGTCCAGAGACTCCAGGAAACCAGGGATGAGGGGAGGGAGCTCCATCGTCTCCCAACCCCCATCCCCCCACCGCGCCGCGGCGGGACCCGGCAGCCCGGGGCCGGGTTCTGCACCCCTGGACTCCCGCCCCCAGGAATCCGGCGGGGGGCGGAGGAGGGCCGCGCTGCAGCCGCTGGGCCGCGGTCACGGGATGCGGGCTGCACGCGGAGGCAGGGGGAGGGGGCGCACGTGGGAGCGGGGGGTGGACCAGCCCTATCCCTCTCCCCGCCCTTGGCCCTCGTCTGAAGTGGGGGCTCAGTGGTTGAGGTCACTTCGCTGTGGCGCCTAGAGGATGCGGGGTGGGGGAGACGTCTCAGCCTGAGGGGAGTTGGGGAGGGATTGCACCCGCCAGGCCCGCCTCCCCTCCTCCACCCCTCCAGGGCACTTCTGCCCTGCGTGCCTGGAGCTCAAAGCTTCTTCACACCCCAGTTCCCAGGCGCAGACCTTGCTGCAATTAGGTTGTCTCTGTCAGGCTTGAAAACCTTCGGGGCGTAATGAGGAGAAACCGAGACACCAGGAAGGGAACACTGCCTAGCAGAGTCCGTGGTGAGAAAGCGCTCTGGGCGCAGGGTCTGGAGCCCTCCGGCTGGGCGGGGGTGGCCTCCGGGGGCCCCGTGGGAGGGCGGCGAAGGGCAGAGCCCTCAGGCCTCGGTTCTGTCTGCACAATGGTTCCTCTGTCCTCGCAGCCGCCTCCTTCTCTACCCCCTCACCTCCACCGCCTGTGCTCTGCCCTCCTCATTCCCGCCATTCAACACACACACACACACACACACACACACACACACACCCCTTCTCCCAGACCCACACAATCCTCCAGCCCCTTTCTCCTTTCCAAAGAGCTTTCTCCGGAAGCTTAGCCCCATTAGTGCTCCTGGCCTAAGAGACAGGATTGAGCAAGCGGCTTCTCCCCGTTGGACAGTTTGGGGAACCGAAACCCTGAGAGGTCTGAGAGGCCAAAGGCTTTGTTCAAGCTTCCAAGTGAGTTCTCGACAGACCCAGGAGCCCTGACCCCAGCCTGGGAAGCCCCGGGGTCCTGTCAGCCCTGCCAGGCTCCTGCTCGGCCTTCCTGTGGCCTGGGTATCTGTTGGCCTGGTGGGTTTCTTGGCGCAGCTGCCCCAGGAAGCCAGCTGCTGAGTTTTCCCCAGAAAGAGGAAACTGCCAAAGCCCACATCACCGGGACTCACTCCCATGCCCTGATGAAGTAGCCCGCCACTGAGCCCAGGAGGCCCACTGCAGGCCTGGCAACAGACTGGGCTGGCAGGTAATACCTGACTCACAGGTCAAAGGGGCGGTCTGTCTGCCCCAGCCCTCGCCACCTCCTGGGCAGCCACTCCAGGGAGACACACCGAGAACCCTTTGCAGGAAAACAAAGCCGGCATTCACCCGGCCTGGCCCCAAACCCAAAACCAAACACAATGCCATGGAGTCAACTCCGATTCGGAACGACCCTAGAGGACAGAGTAAAACTGCTCCATAGGGTCTCCAAGGCTGTGTGTATTTTTTAAATCATTTATTTATTTTCCTTCACCCAAGTGACCACATGTCTCCCCTCTAGTTAGTGGTTTACTCTCCCTGCCCCTTTGGTAACATCAAAGAATCCTTTTTTTTTTTGTGAAACCCTTTCTGGACTTTTCACCAGAGCGATCTCATGTAATGCTTGCCCTTTAGTGATTGGCTAACTTCACTGCACACAGTGGCCCCAGTTCATCCATGTTCTGTTTTGCAGCTGGGTCCCTTAACATTGTGTAACGTGCCGTTGCATGCACGTGTACCAGTGTGTTGATCCATCCTCCGTGGATAGGCATTGAGGTCATGTGCATCATTTTGCTATCATGAGTAGTGGTGCGATGCACGTGGGTGCCCCTGTATCGGCTCACGTCACCGCTCTTATCTCTCTAGGATGTATACCTAGTAGTGGGATTCTGGGGTGACACGCTGTGAACCTTTACCAGAGCAGACTGCCTCATCTTTCCCCCTTCTCCTGCAGAGTGACTGGGCTCAAACAGCCGACCTTTTGGTTAGCAGCTGAATGCCTTAACCACTGCGCCACCAGAAATTTGGCGTCAAGGCCGTCGGATGACAAATCAGTTGCTTTGAGTAGAAGATTTTTGCTATGTCACCTGCCCCTGAGGCCTGCAGGCCGCCCCTGACTTCAGGGTTTTTCCCTTTTTATGGTCCTTTGCTGCCTGGAAAAGGAGTCCTGGTGGTACAGTGCTTAAGGCATCTGACGGTCCAAAGGTTGGTGGTTTGAACCCACCAGCCACTCCGCAGAAGAAAGATGAGAGAGTCTGCTTCTGTAGAGATTTACAGCCTCGGAAACCCAGTGGGGGCTGCTGGGTTGGAATCAACTCGATGGCAGTGGGTTTGGGTTTTGAGTTTTGCTGCCTGGCAGGTACACGGGCAGGAAGGGAGGCGTTCAGCTCTGCGCACACTGTGAGGCGTGAGTTCTAGGACAGCCCGGATGTCCCTTTGCATTCTGCGTCTCTCCCATGTGGTTTCAAGGCCGACCACACCAGGCATTGGGGTGTGTGCCACCTCATCGGTGACCTGATTCTCAGGGTGGGTGGCACCTGTGGGAGCCAGGGCGCAGACTGGTGGCACAGGACTCGGCTGTGAGTAGACGAGTGTGCTTGGCCCACGTTTCTGGGGTTTTCACAGTGGTTCAGCTGCTCCTCGGGGCATGTGGTTGGGGTGACACTACGTGGGTGGCTTCCAGCTGGCCTTGTAGGTATTCTTACTGAGACAGGGCATCCAGCTGTCTCAGGGTCTCTGGGCTCTGCCACCCACACCCCCCACCTCCAGGCTGCAGTTCAGGGTGATTAGCTTCTAGACCAATCCGTTTCAGACGCACTCCACTTGCTTCAGCTGCCAGCAACCGAAGGCCTTGCAGTTGCCATGTGAATGGGCCTTTTTTAACCGCACTCAGGAAAATGTAGGTTCACCTCTCTGCAGCCTGTTGTGTGTCTGGCCTCCTGGCTGGAAACTTCTCTGCTGGGCTCTCTCAGGACCAGGGTCTCAGCTGGCAGTGACCTACTGGTGTGATTCACAAAGTCCTCCCTACTCAGGGCCTTACGTTTCACCTGCAAGATTGTTCTCTGGGTCTGCACTGACTTGATCTTTCTCAAGTGCAGATGGCTCTAGGAGGAAAAGCAGGACCTTATTGTC